CCGTTATATATATATGTATATGTATATATCTTAGATACACGCGATATAGGAGTATATGTATCTGTATATATTTATATACATATGCCTTCTAAATGTGTTTATTATATGCCTATTATAGTATATTGATTAGTATGTGTGTGTTTATGTTTGTGTATGTGTGTTTGTGTGGTTTGTGTATCTGTGTTGTGTGGTTTGTGTATGTGTGTCTATTAATGTTTATTAATGTTACAGTGTTTCCTATGCGATGTATTGCATCCAACAAATTTTTATTTAAAAAAATATATAAACGTTGTAATTGATTTTAGCATATTTAACTTTTTTTATTGCATTTTATTTCCATCTTTCTTATTATTATTGCTTTTATTATTTAATTCTTTTATTATTTTTAATTAGCAATTTTAAAATCTTGTAATATCATGTTGAATAATAAAAATGACACAAACCACCTTATGAATTTTGTTGCGTCAAATTTCTCCACTGCTACTACCATTATTTTACAATAGCAATGTTAATGGGATTTGCACGCTATTATGATTTACGATCGAATAATCCCCCATTTATGTGGGAGAAAAAATCAATTTGTAAGGGAAAAAATTTACTATAATAATTAATTAAACGTAGTTGAATGCTCAAAAGTTTTGGAAAAATAATTTTTATTTCAAATGGTTTTTAATCTAAAATTTATTACAAAACCATTTCATCTAAACCAGATTGTCTAATTCAAATCACTTTCATTGCATTTCCACGCATGGCATGGCACCTCCTCTTAATGGTTGATTTCGTAATACATCATTATGGTGGTCATTTTCTGGTTGTGTTTGTCTGCACGTGCACACACACACAACGTGTCTGACGAGGTAGGCAAACGGTGAGGAAAAGCCCATTAACAATAATTATTTGTGTGTGTGTGTGTGTGTGGGTGTGTGTGTGGGTGGATGCGTGTGTGCGTGTGTATGTGTGTAATTGTGTGTGAATGGTTAAACATTCATTTCATCATTACATGAGTGTATTTGTAATATTTTCATAAAGTTTCACCAGAATGAAACTGGTTTGATAGGTAAGAACTGAACTTAAGTCATTAAAGATTTGTGTATATTGGTTTTTGATGCTTATGTGTATACGTGTCTGGTTGTCGGCTGTTTCGCCTGTTTGTCTGTCTGGTTGACTATCTGGTTGTTTGTTTACCTGTTTGCTGGTGTGTTTGTCTGATGATTTTTGTCTTTTTGTCTTTTTGCGCCTTTCTGCTAATGCCTGTCTGTATGTTTGCCTATTTTTCTGGGTTTTTTCTCTCTGAATTCATTTATACATATCAAATGCAAAATGTTGTTTAACAGTTTTTATTAAATTAAAGGCGTTTTTGTATGTGCAACAATATATTTATTTGTGTGATCGTTGCTCGAACCTCTTTGTATTTTTTGTTCATTCAGTATTAAAAATGGTTGTTTTTATTGCATCTTTATTGTATATTTGCTAGTATGTTTATTTGTATGTTTGTATATTTTCGTGTTTGTATGTTGTTTATTTTTTTATTTTTCCACATGTTGCGCGGGAGAGATGAAATGTTGGAGAGAAATGAAGTTTTTTTGCAGTTGTTTTCCTGCTAAGATGTTGTTTGTTTACATATCTCTGATTGACGATGGCTAGGACGATGATGACGAAGATAATGATGAAGATAGTAATAATGATGACGAAGATGTTGATGAAGATGATGAAGATGACGAAGATGTTGATGAAGATGATGACGATGACAAAGATGGTAATGAAGATGATGACGATGGTAATGATGATGATGGAGATGGTTATGATGATGACGAAGATGATATATATATGTATATGTATATGAAAGTGAAAATGACGAAGATGGTAATGATGATGATGACGATGATGATGAAGATGATGATGGCGATGATGATGGCGAAGATGACGACGAAGATGATGATGCAGTTGT